AAAATATTCCCCACTGTTCCAGTTCTCCATGCATTGTTTTAGATCCGCAATTTTTTTTTTTAAATTGATTTAATTTTAAACACGATATTATCTCCAAACGCCCGATTACATACAAGCGCAAACAAAGACATGCGAATTTATTTATAAATTGTTGTTGTCGTTTCCTATTCGGGTGTTAATACAATTGAACAAAGCTAAAAAGAACCGATTGAGGTTGAGATGAAAAGTTATGGAAATATATCCGATTTTAAAGACCAGCAATTCTATTGTGGAAAACTTATTTAAGAGGAGCTTAAGGAAAATTATGATTCGAAAATTAGTTTTAACTTCTAAATCATGGAGCAAAAGTTAAGCCTCAACTTCATCCACCACCTCCTCATATTACCTCAAAATATAACGAAAATCTTAAAAATCGCATTTTACTGTTCCTTACTTTCTCGCATATGTGTATGTTTCCTATACATCTGCGTATATGACCCCATAATACCATATCTATGACTTGACCTTGATTAAAAAATTACCCCATGCCGTGATAGAAATTTCCAAGCCGTTTGACAACATTGCATTGCAGTTTTTTTTGTTTTTGCTTTCATTTTTCTATTCTCGGACATTGGGCATCAACTAAATTAAAGAAAATTATTAAAATGTTTTCGAAATAATAATAAATTGGATTTAGTTGGGTGAATAACTTAATCGCGCTGGTTTAAATGGAGAACGACATATTTATACGCCAACCACCATGATAACCCATGGGTTGTATAATTGATGCCAACACTCATACGCCCCGAGTGGGCAAGTGTTTAAATGTCATTGTTCCACTGCAGTTTCATTTTTTTAATTTAGCCATTCATTTTCATTTGCGACCATTGACTGGAGGGTTCGCACGAAACAAATGTCAATGACCGTAATTGACATTGAGGGTTAAAGTTCAAAAGACTAAATATACCGAAGCATTTCTATCTTTTAAATTCGGACTTGTATTGGCCATTTGATGCACAATTACTTTGAAATCGGATAAATATATATATGGGAGCTATAGCCAAATCGGAACCGATCTCGATAAAATCTGGCAAAGATATTTCTGAGATGTATTCCACCCCATTTGGACAAATATTAGACGTTTGGTGCACAATAAAAGGTAAATCGGACGAAGTTATATATGGGAGCTACATCCATATCGGAACCGATCTCGATAAAATTTGGCAAAGATATTTCTGAGATGTATTTGCTATATTTCCCCAAAATATTGTTGTTACGGAGTACATATTACGGCTGTGGGTAACAAATATAACAAATCGGATGAACAGTATATATGGGAGCTATAGGTATATCTGAACCGATCTTTACCAAATTTGACATACTAACTTCTAGACTGAATTCGGTCGTAAGTGCCAAATTCCATCCGATTTGGACAAATATTAGACGTTTGGTGCACAATAAAAAGAAAATTGGACGAAGTTATATATGGGAGCTATAGCCAAATCTGAACCGATCTCGATAAAATTTAGCAAAGATATTTCTGAGATGTATTTGATTAATTTCCCTGAATATCGTTGTTACGGAGAGCATATTACGGCTGTGGGTAACAAATATGACAAATCGGGTGAAAAGTATATATGGGAGCTATAGGTATATCTGAACCGATCTTCACCAAATTTTAGCTTATAGACTCAATTCGGTCGTAAGTGCCAAATTCCACCCCATTTGGACAAATATTAGACGTTTGGTGCACAATCAAAGGTAAATCGGACGAAGTTATATATGGGAGCTACATCCATATCGGAACCGATCTCGATAAAATTTGGCAAAGATATTTCTGAGATGTATTTGCTATATTTCCCCAAAATGTTGTTGTTACGGAGTACATATTACGGCTGTGGGTAACAAATATAACAAATCGGATGAACAGTATATATGGGAGCTATAGGTATATCTGAACCGATCTTTACCAAATTTGACATACTAGCTTCTAGACTCAATTCGGTCGTAAGTGTCAAATTCCATTCCATTTGGACAAATATTAGACGTTTGGTGCACAATAAAAAGAAAATCGGACGAAGTTATATATGGGAGCTATATCCAAATCTGAACCGATCTCTATAAAATTTGGCAAAGATATTTCTGAGCTGTATTTGATTAATTTCCCTGAATATCGTTGTTACGGAGAGCATATTACGGCTGTGGGTAACAAATATGACAAATCGGGTGAAAAGTATATATGGGAGCTATAGGTATATCTGAACCGATCTTCACCAAATTTTAGCTTATAGACTCAATTCGGTCGTAAGTGCCAAATTCCATACCATTTGGACAAATATTAGACGTTTGGTGCACAATAAAAGGTAAATCGGACGAAGTTATATATGGGAGCTATATCCAAATCTGGACCGATCTCGATAAAATTTGGTAAAGATATTTCTGAGATGTATTTGCTATATTTCCCCAAAATATTGTTGTTACGGAGTACATATTACGGCTGTGGGTAACAAATATAACAAATCGGATGAACACAATATATGGGAGCTATAGCTATATCTGAACCGATCTTTACCAAATTTGACATACATACTTCTAGACTCAATTCGGTCGTAAGTGCCGTAAGTGCCATTTGGGCAAATATTAGACGTTTGGTGCAAATCAAAGGTAAATCGGACGAAGTTATATATGGGAGCTATATCCAAATCTGAACCGATCTCGACAAAATTTAGCAAATGTTTTTCCTAGCTGCAGTTGATATATTTCCCCAAATATTGTTGTTACCGAGTACATATTACGGCTGCGGAGGACAAAAATAACAAATCGGATAAAAAATATATATGGGAGCTATAGCTATATCTGAACCGATTTCGATCAAATTTGGCGTACTTATTTTCAGGTCTAATTTGGTTATATGTGCAAAATTCCATAATATTCGGACTGATATTACACGTTTGGTGCACAATAAAAAGCAAATCGTACGAACATATATATGGGTGCTATATCTACATTTTTACCGATTATCTCCAATTTCAGTAGGGTTTGTCCTTGGACCAAACAAATGATTTGTGCAAAATTTCATATGGATAAACATTGTAAACAAACTGTACTTTGTTTACAAAAATACATAGACAGACAGACGGACGGACGGAGATGCATAAAACGACTCAGAATGTGATTCTATGCAGATCATCAAAATGAACTATGGGTCTATCTCGTTTCCTTTTGCCTGTTACAAACAAATGTACAAAGACATAATACCCCGACCACCTTGTGGTATAGGGTATAAAAGTTTCAACAGAAAGTGTGGAGAAAGCTAAAATTGTGCGCCGAAAAGTTGGCAACAGTTTTCAATGTGAAAAACAATACTTTCCAGTGATGGCAATGCCTTATACCATGTTCATATGGCACATGATTCCATAGAACAAAACTTCATTATGACATTGCTACCAACAGGTTTTTGGAAATTTAAGGTTACTTTAAGGTTACGAAAAGTACTATAATGGTACTACGCCTCTAAAATGGTACCATTTGGTAGTATCTGAACGCTTAGAGCTAAAAAACTTGAATCTTGAATAAGAATCTAGGTTAAAAAGTAAATTTGATATATGAAGGTGGTTTTGGAAATGTGTACTAAGTGTGCGAACTGTACTAAATGGTACTAAATTTGGAACAATATGATTTAGAGTGAGCTGATAAAAGTAGCATTGGAGTCACTGTTGATGGTAAGTTTGTGATAAAGAGGTGGTTTTAGAAATGAGTACTACAAGTGCACGAAAAGTACTAAATAGTACAATATTTGGTATAATTTGGTATTGGATGACCAGATGGGGCTTGAAATCTGAAATTTGATATAATGGTTTCCCAAGTTCATCCCACACAAAAGTACTAAATTTGAAAAATGCGGAATGCAGATGAAATTTGATATGGATGTGACTGTGGGTGTCTGTGATTGGGTACTATAATTGTACGAATAGTACTAAATTTGATATTAGGTGAAGGGATAGGGCTAGAATGCTCAAATTGTATATTGAGTTCTTTGTTGGTATTTGGAATTGAAATTTGGCGGTGGTTTCGAAAATGCGTCGTATACTTGTACGAAAAATACTAAATGGTACTAAATTTAATTTTGTTGAAGGGGTAGAAATAAAACTCTGAAATTTTATATTTAAATAACTGTTTAGTATCTGACGTTGAGATTTGGCGGTGGTTTCGAGGTTCATCCTATATTTGTACAAAAATATAGTTCTAAATAGTACTAAATTTGTTATTGGTTGATGGGATACAGCAGAAATTTGATATAGATGTCACTGTTAATGTCTGTCGTTAAGATATGGAGGTGATTTTTAAAATACGTACTACAAGTGCACCAAAATTTCTAAATAGTACTATATTTGGTACCATTTGGCATTGGGTCATCAGATTGTCCTTGAAATCTGAAATTTGATTTTGGGTAGCTGTCCGTGTGTATCCTAGAGATGGCTTCGGAAATGTGTTCTTTAATTGTACGAAAAGTACAGATTGGTACAATATTTGGTATTGGATGAACGGATAGATCTAAAACCGTGAAATTCGATTTGGATGTCACTGTGGGTGTCTACGATTGAGAGAAAGAGCTGGGTTTAGATAAATTTCGTATTGCGTGTAGTTATAAAGCTGAGACCGTGAAAATTGATATAGATGTTACTGTTGGTGTCTGTACTTGAGAGGAGCTAATATAATTGTACTAAATGGTACTAAATTTGGTTTAAGAGCTGAAATTTGTGGCCCGATTATCGATAACAACTATCGTTGAGTGGCGTTGCCAGTAGCGAAAATTGCATTATGTATGGCAACTTTCAACTGAAGTTGCGAATTTCAGTTGCTACAGCGGCCATATTTGAGCGACCATCTATTTGCAGTTGCAGTGAACGTTTTCAAAGAAGAAATTATTTTTTATTATTTAATTATTGATTTTTTACCTTCACTAAAAGTAAAATAAAAAAGTAACAACAAAACATCAGTTCGAAATACTTATAGAAAAAATGGGTGCTAATCCAAACTTAGCTCGAGGAATCCGTGTCTTTGGTGAAACCAAAGCCACTGCAAATGAAGCGTGGGAGAAAATTTCCGACAACCTTAACAGTCATGGTCCACCAACAAGGGCACCAGAAGAATGGCAGAGAGTATGGATCCAATTTAAAGCTAAGCTTAAAAAGAAAATGTCGCAAAATAAAAGAAATCTTAACGCCACAGGTGGTGGTCCATCACAAGAAGTGCGTCTATCGCCGTTGTGCTCAACAGCAGCAGATCTACTTCAAATAAATTTAGTAACAGATCCTGCAGGTGCCATTTATGGAATAATGGAGACATGGGATGAAGATGGGATAGAAATAGTGTCAAATGTTAAGGTGGAGCAAGAAGAAGCTGCTACCCAAATGGAGAATGTTCGTCCCACTCCGCGACGAACTGTAAGAAGGGAGTACAGCAAAATAAGTATCCTTAGGGAGCAAACATCCACACAAAATGAACTTTTGTTGACCATAGCAAAACTTGAAAAGGAAGCGAAAGAACAAAATGAAATTTTAAAGGCAAACAATAATTTATTGAAGGAAAGAAATGAATTACAAATTCCAACGGATTTGAATTATCTCTCAAGCTTCGTCGAATAGATGCAACGTCCTGAACATTTTCTTCTTCACCATAAAATAATTCCATTGAACTTATCATTTTAAAATTCTTTTATTGTTTAAATTGTGTTTTGTTATTTCGAATTTATTGACATTTTTGAAGTTTAGAGTTCACAAGATGGAAAATACACTGATCGATAGCATGTTTATCGACAACTCAATTGGGTTGCCTTCTATAATACAACAATTTATTTCAGTCGCGCTGACAACTGATAACGCAACCCAAGTTTGGTGGCAATGCATAATCGAGCCATTGATATTGCGGTCTCTGTTGGCATTTAGTGATGGTTTTGCAATTGTTCGAAAAGTACTTAATGGTACTAATTTTGAGTCACTGTTTGTGTCTAGGATGAAGAGATGTAGATTGATTTGCATATATGTACTAAATGTTAATAACTTTGCTATTCGATTGCACACTTGACCGTCAAACACTGGAACCAGGGCCTTATGAAGAATTATGTATTTAAAAAAAAAATCCTTTATTTTGCCACCCGAACTTCATCCTTTCCAAATCATATTTACCTTGGACACCGTTGAAAATAAAAAAGGAAACAAGTTTTTTGTTTTACTTCCTAAATGTACAATAGAATGTTTATACATACATAATATATATTTCATCAAATTTCTTTTAACCTAGCATTCTTAAGAGTAAACATGTATGAGTTGTGTAGTCGCTGCTATAGAGGCAATTGCTATGAAGCTTTCTATCGTACTTTCTTTATACTTTCAATTATTTCAAGATGGAAAGTTTTAAGTGCTCACTAATGCATAAGGAAGGCATATATATATTTGAGTGGGTATATATATTAAACGATTGTTTCATTGTAATTGGAGTATTCAATTTAAGTACAAAAGAAAGCAAAGTTGGAGGGGGTTTGTTTTTGAAAGAAATTCAAACAAATTATTGAGAATTATTTTTTTTTCAATTGCAGAGATGTAATAACTTAGGAACAATCATTTATGAGGTGTTAAAGTTTAATAATAAAAAAATAGAAAACATGACCAAAAACAAAATTATTTTAACAAAACATAAATTCTTTATATATATATATTTTTTTTTTTAATATCAAGGCAATAATAAAGTATTTTTTTATTTTAAATTTTCATTTAATGAATGACTTAAATGTCATGAAAAAAATTGGTATTTTCTTAATGTTCTTTATTTTTTTGGAATGCCCATTGGCATTTGGTTTTGAGATTATATTCATATAAAGGGACTTTACTTTCTAAAATAATTTAATATCTAGAAATAATAAAAAAAAAAACAAATCTCTTTGTTTTTTTTCTAATTTATATAATGGGCATTATTTAAATCACAATGAAGTAAAAGAATACAAAGCCATTTAAAAGCTAATTTTAGTTTTGTTTTATTATAAAGATAAAATGATTTATGTTTTAACGCATTAAAATACTATATTATAATTGATTTAAATTTAATAAAGCGCCGGAAACACTCTCCAATGTCATAGTTTGTTTACAACCCAATATATTTTCTCAATTGACATTTGTCTATAATTTTTTTTTTTTTCAAAAAAATTACAATTATAATCCATATTTAAATTTAAACAAAAAAAATTATTTATTTTTAAATCCATTCCTGTATTTTGTGAAGAGCATTTTGTATTTTGATTTATGTTTTCATATTCTTTTTGAAAAAATGTTTTGTGTTTTCGTCATGTTTTTTGAAAATTTTGTATGAAATATCTTATAATTTATATGTTTTATATATTTTCTTGTTTTATTAAAGAAATACTAAAACCTAACGAAGGCCAGATATCGTCGTCAAGTTTTGCGGTGTGCCAGCATTACAAATTTCAAGTATTTCCTTTAACAAGCATTTCCTTTGATTGTTGCGGTCATTTATTTACTCGTCAATTTCCTCCGAATGTGATCGTGTTTTTTGTACAGTGACTTGTATTCAGCTTTGTCACGAGCGTATTTATCAAAATCATCTGGAAAGGGGGGAAAATAAAAAATGAATTAATTTAATATTTTGAAATACCCAAAAGACATTGCAAAGCAAGAATTCAAATATAGTTCAGAATGAATGCAATTTAAATAGATTATCGATCGATTGAATTTTTCCACTTTTGGTGGAAGTAGAGGCCAGAGGTAAAATCTCAAAATCGAATTTTTGTAATTGATTTTTAATTTTACGATTATAAACTTTAGGGCAACATTTGATAGGACTACACATCGACATTGGTTTGAAAAATTAGAATCGAAAGTCAAATTTTTAGCTTGTCAAACTAAATCAAAAGATCGCACTGTTGTTGTAACAAATTCACATGTTTTGTTCGAGTTCTGATAATCCACTATAAGTCGGTTTAGCCGACAGATGTTTACCCTCAGCCAATGTTCTATTGTTTAAATATTCTTTGGCCAGCAATAAAATCTCAAAGTCGAATTTGCGCCAACATTTGATAGGACTACACATCGATATTGGTTTGAAAAGTTAGAATCGAAAATCAATTTTTTAGCTTGTCGAACAAAATCAAAAGATCGCACTGTTGTTGTAACAGATTCACATGTTTTATTCGAGTTCTGATAATCCACTATAAGTCGGTTTAGCCGGCAGATGTTTACCCTCAGCCAATATTCTATTGTTTAAATATTCTTTGGCCAGCGATAAAATCTCAAAGTCGATTTTTGGTAATTGATTTTGAATGTTAAGGGCTAAGTACATAAGAAGCTTGAAGTCATGGCTAGGCATATTAATTTCAAATTATAATGGAAAACGACGGCTGGATTTTAGTGCGGTTCTGTAATCCCTTTGTGAAATGTCACAAAATATGCCTAGCCATGACTTCAAGCTTCTTATGTACTTAGCCCTTTAGGCTTATAGACTTTACGCCAACATTTGATAGGACTACACATCGACATTGGTTTGAAAAATTAGAATCGAAAGTCAAATTTTTAGCTTGTCAAACAAAAACAAAAGGTCGCACTGTTGTTGTAACAGATTCACATGTTTTGTTCGAGTTCTGATAATCCGGTATAACGGTTTAGCCGACAGATTTTTACCCTCAGCCAATGTTTTATTGTTTAAATATATTTCGACCCTCTATGGAGGGAGAATGGGCCAATATTGTCAATTTCGCATCGGACCTAAATAAATATGATATAAATATTGTGACGTGCCAGGTTTGGACTATATCGACTACTTCCCTCATATTATATGAGTTATGTGATAATTTTTAGAAGATCTAAAAATGTACGTGAGCTACCAGATATAGGTAGTTCGTGGTCGGTATTATATTTCCCTCGACCTATACATTCAGCTGTGTTTTCATCTCCGCAGTCCATGGGGCAAAGAGTAGGGCGAGTATTTTGATATTCCTCGCGTGGAAGGAACATACATACGGACATCGACGACAGGACCCGACGCCATGATCGTACAATCATCTACATACTTTACGATTTCAAAGCCGTCTGGAGCGCTCTAAATTGCATAAAGGTAGAGGTTAAACAGTTTCGAAGGTGGGATGATTACCTTGGGAAACTCTCTGTTTTACTCTATGGGGTTTAGACGTCTTGTTTCGGAAATCCTCGTAAGACTTGCATTCACAAATACAGTTGATTATGAAACGTTTTAACCCCGGTCGGAGGGTAGTATTCGTGACGTCATCGAACAGCGTTGCTTGGTTGACAGCATCAAAAGCACTGGCTAAGTCAAGAGCCACCACCACTACCTCTTCTATGACAGGTCATGTTCTAAGTCCTCTACTAATATAAAGAGTGTAATGCTGTTGTGGAGCTATGTTGCTGACGGAAACCATGTTCGTGATCCGCAACTGGATAGCTCTTTTTTAATAATGAGCAGAACTAAAGTATCTGAATTTTGACCAGAAAGCTTCCCCCTTATAAAGGAAAGTGCGGCGTTCAGAGGTTATGAAATCGGGTGGTCTGCTCATTGAGACTCTTATGAAGAGATGGTGTGATTCAAGTCTCATCATTCATCAACAGGCCGGATGACACGAATCTTGGATGATTTCATTGTTTCGGGTCAATGCGGTGTCGTATAACAATACGCCTTGGTATTAAGAGTCGACTTTTTTGTTGAAGCAATAAAACTAAGTCTTAAAGTCTACTTTTGCTTTCGATTGTGGCGTATCCCTAGTCAGGAAACAAATAATAAGCCTCAAAATCTCTCCTTTATAGTGTCCTTAAGATAGATCTATGGCTAGAGAGGGTATATATCATTTGATACGCCCAAAACGTGCCTCATTAAAATAATGGTTTCAGTCCGTTTCAGGACATTTAGAGTAGATCTAGCGATGTCCCTCTGTCTGGCTTGTGCGCACGATAACTCTCGAAACTTGTGATATTATTGTCAAACTTTGATCGAATTCAGAGTTGGGCAATATCGGTCCACTCCTTCTGGCACCTCCCACACAAAATATCATCATTTCCAAAGAAAATAATTCCCTGTACAGAAAGAGAAAGGATAATAATCCTAATATTTGCATCAGCGAAAATGGACAATGTCGGTCCACTACATCCAATACCTCTCCCACAAAGGGTCAAAATCTTGAATATCCATGAAGTTTATAAAACACGAACTTAACATCCGGTTCCATTTTGGCACGTCCCAATATTTCCATGAACACAAGACCTGTTATAAAAATGGTAAAGATCGGACCATTCCCTCTGGCACCTCCACCAACGCTCAAAGAAAGTGAAAAATAAATGTTGGAATAATCATAACTCTAGGCTGGGCGTATAAATATGTTGGCAAAACCGACTGATACTATTTTACTTGTTCTTGTAGAAATTGTCCTTAAATATCCCTTTCACAGAGAAAGTGGCCTTAAAATCATCCTTTCTTGTAGATAATGTCTATAAAAAATGGAAACACATGTCGTATATGCAGTCTCTCTAAAAGTACTCAATTTCCAGTCTATACATAGATGACTTTTAAAATGTCTTCCACACTTAGAAGACCTGTAGATGGTCATTAATCCATAAATGATACAAAAAATGGTCTTTAGAAGGGTTTTTATATAAAGACTTCTGAAAAAGAAAGACTTCATATGAGGATTCTTGAAATTGAAGACCTTTCCAAAGTCCTATATATCTAGAAGTATTGGAACTGATGTTATTAATCTATTTATGTTAGTTCTCTGACGACTGAATAGTTGCTACTTGTTTCGATGACTTACCGAATGTTATTTTTCCCCGGTTTGTAACATCAATTGCCACATAGAGAGCATCCACTTTCTCTGTGGTTAATTTACTGAGATTGGCATGTTTGAGAATTTTGGTGAATTCTTGTCGTGTGATTTGACCACGTTCTTCGGTGTAAATCTAAAGATAAAAAATGAGAAATATTTATAGAAAACAGTCATGGCAACTGAAGATGACAACAACTTACATTCGTTATAGCTTTTAAATACTCAATGGTTTCTGAATTACTCAGCTTGCAAAAATGGGCACACAACAATAAATTCTTTAGGCTAACTGTGCCCACATGACGCTGTAAAAATTAAAGAAATGAATTTAAAAATAAAATTGAAATGATGAAATCATGATTTGCAAAACCTACATAATCCAATACTGAGAACAAACGATGTAAATGTGGATTCTTAATATTAACTTCTAGTAGCTCTGAGAATGTCAAGAAATCTAGTTTATCACGATTGGGTATGCTTGAGAATTTCGTGGTTAATTCCACAATTGGGGTGGCACTAATAAGACTAGAAGAGAGATAGAAGAGAGAAGGTTATTAAAAATTCCTCGAAATCATCAGTAAATTTATAAAACTTACTTTAATTTGTCTAAACATCTTTCAATTTCCACAATATCACCTGACAAGGGAATTTTCAAATCACGGGCCCTGGTCATGACAATGACATCTTCAAATGAATATTCTGAGGTGGGTACACCCAAGGCTCTAAAAAAATCTAAATTAAATTTCCATATAATTATTAAAATCAATAAAACCTTACTTGGCCATAACTTCTCGCACATTTTTGGCATACAAATTGGGATCGGCCTTTTCTTCCTCCGATGGATGATAGACGGGTAAAAATTCCATTTCACAGCGACTATAAAAATTTGCCATGGTCAGCCATAGAAGTTTCAGTCTAAAAGGAGAGAAAAAAGAGAAAAGAAGAAATTATTAGGGATATTTCAAATAGTTTTCTTAGATGGCAACTTACACTCCAGGTCCATCCCAGGTCCAGGTGAATGTGTCATACTTATTGGGATATCTTAGTAGGACAGGTTGTACGGGCACTCCGGGATAGAAAGCACCACCCTTAAATTTAATCAAAGCCTTGCGATTAGTGCAAGTACCTTCGGCAAAGATCACTACCTGTGGCCAATCTTCACCGGAACGTGCACGTTCGACAATCTCGCGAATGGTATTCTGACGCGAGTTGGGATCTTCACGTTGCACATAAATTGGTTGGGCATAATTGATGATTTCTGAAAACAGAAAGATTTTTTTGTTAGATTTTGGATCACTTCAGATGACTTTTAGAGAAAATATTTAAATTCTTCGCATAAAAAAATTTGAGTTATTCGGATAAATTTGACACGTTTTGATTTTATTCGAATAACGTAGATATGGTATGTGATCTTTTTAAATATATATTTAAATATATATTTTCAGTTCATTACGACTTGGATAAAATAGATGAATTATACGCGCTGTTATAAAAAAACCAAATGGTAAAGCAGCATGTTAGTCCGGGCCGAAATTTGGCCGAACCCTCCATCTTTTGTAACGAATTTGAAGATTTTCAAAAAAAAAAAATAAAATTTGTTAAAAAATTCTGTGAAAATCTTAAAAATACCGAATATAGCCATTATATTGGGGTCTATAAGAATATACCTGCATAAGCTATTACAGTATTTAAATACGAAACTTGAAAAAAATAGAGAATAATTTAGCTAAAATCATCAAAATACCAAAAACAGGGAGGTCCATTATATGGAGGCTATACGAAGACGTAGACCTGCACACAACATTTTCTGTCGTAGGCTGTAGTATCCATTACGAATTTCAAATACCAAATTTGAAACAATGCCGTTAAATAATGTCGCTAAAATCATCAAAATACCGAATATCAGGAGGTACCGTTACATGGGGACTGTACGAAGACGTGGATCTGCACAGACAAATTTCTGTCTTAGGCTGTAGTATCCATTACGAACTTCAAATAACAAATTTGAAACATTTCCGTTGAATTATGTCGCTAAAATTATCTAAATACCTAATATAGGGAGGTACCATTAATGGTACCAAAACATGGACCTACATGGAACATTTTCAATACCAAAAGTCCTGCAGACATAATATACATTTGAGTAAAATTTTATCAAACTAATTAATTTCGTTCGGAAGCAAGAGGGATTTTCACAGGCGGACAAACGGGCGGATATCGCTAAGTCTACATAGAATTTTATGCTGATCAAGAATATATACATTTTGTGGGTTCTAAAATGTAGGTGTTACAAACGGAATGGCAAACTTAATATAACCTCCATACTATGGTGGAGGGTATAAAAAGGTGTGAATGGTTTGGATTACATAGATACACCATCCACGTTGTATGGATAACGAAGATAAATTATCCACATTTTTGAAATTATTCGCGCATTGTGGATAAAATAAATGCACCTGTTAAGTTTTGTGGATAACATAGACACATTATCTACGTTGTATGGATAAAATATATAAATTATCGAATATGTGAAATCATAGGTATACGTCATTTAGATACTGCACATACGTTATCAACGTTATTAGATGCCATAGATACATTAATGACGTCATTTAGATACTGTAGTTGCGCCAATAGAAATATTATACTTTACTATAGATACATTATCTACGTCATTTGGATACTGTAGATACATTATCTGTGTCATATAGATAATATAAATACATTATCTACGTCATTTAGGTAATATAAATACATTATTTGCGTCATTTAGATACTGCAGATACATTATCTACGTTACTTAAATACTATAGATACGTTAATTTCGTCATTTAGATACTATAGATACATTATCTGAATCATTGAGATACTATAGATACATTATCTACGTCATTTGGATAATATAGATACATTATTTACGTCAATTTGATCCAATAGATACATTGTTTATATCTCTCGGATACTATATACACATTATCTAAGTCATTTAGATACTATAGATACATTATCTGAATTATTTATATAATATAGATACATTATCTACGTCATTTGGATCCTGTAGATACGTTATTTTCGTCATTTAGATACATTATCTACGTCACGAAGATCCTATAGTTACGTTATTTTCGTCATTTAGATACTGTAGATACATTATCTACGTCATGAAGATCCTATAGATACGTTATTTTCATCATTAAGGTACTGTAAATACATTATCTACGTCGTTTAGATAGCATAGATACATTATCTACGTTATTTAGATACTCAGATACATTATCAACGTCATTTAGATACTGTAGATACATTTTCTACGTCGTTTAGAAAGTATAGATACATTATCCAGGCCATTTGGATACTATAGATACATTATCTGCATCATTGAGATACTATAGATAATATCTACGTCAATTTGATCCAATACATACATTGTTTATATTTTTCGTATACTATATACACATTATCTAAGTCATTCTGATACTATAGGTACATTATCTGAATTATTTATATAATATAGATACATTATCTACATCTTTTAGATCCTACATTATACATTATCTTCGTCATTTAGATCCTATAGATACATTATCTACGTCATGAAGATCCTATAGATACGTTATCTTCATCATTAAGATACTGTAGATACATTATCTACGTCGTTTAGATAGCATAGATACATTATCCAGACCATTTGGATACTATAGGTGCATTATCTACATCATTTAGATACTTTAGATACATTATCTACGTCGTTTAGATACTATAGATACAGCATCTGCATGATTTAGATACTATAGATACATTATATACGCTATTTATATACTAAGATACATTATCTACGTCATTTAGATACTGTAGATACATTATCTACGTCGTTTAGATAGTATAGATACAATATCCAGGCCATTTGGATACTATAGATACATTATCTACGTCATTTAGATACTATAGATACAATACCTACGATATTTGGATAATATCTACGTTATTTAGATACTATAGATACAATATTAACGTCATTTAGATACCATGGACAAAGTATCCGGACCATTTGGATACTATAGATATATTATCTACGTAATTTAGACACTATAGATACATTATCTACATCATTTAGATACTGTACATACATTATCTAAGATACTAAACACCATAGATACATTATCCACATCATTGGGATACTATAGATACATTATCTACGTCGTTTAGATACTAATAGGTACACTATCGATATTACAAAATACTATAGATACACTATCCATGTCATTTAGATACTACAGATAAATTATCTAATTTGTTTAGACACTATAGATACATTATCTACGTTATTTAGGTACTATAGATACATTATCTTCAACATTTGAATGCTATAGATACATAAACTACAGCATTTGGATACCATAGATACGTCATTCGGATAATATAGATGCATTGAAAATATCGAAGATACTTACTGCCCAGTAATGGAATATCTGCTGTTTCACGCTTTGCCACAATCGCTGGCGGTCCTGTGGTGACCACAACAATGGAATCGACATATGATGAATGTGGTGCCACTACCAAAATTGGAGCCTCCTTGGGTGAAGCTCTTTGACCTTTGAATGTGACATAGTGAAATGAGCCGGCGGCATAAAGCATGCGCATAGCTGAGGCCACCAAAGATTGGACATTTCTGCGAAAAAAGAAAGCCGATGCTAAAAAAAGTGCCGAGGAAAAAAATCAATAAAACTCACTTGCGCCAACCCGAAAGCGGACGTTTGTTGATTTCCTCGACTGTGGTGCCATACAAACCAATGCAGGCAAACATCCAGGCTGAGACCAATGAGAGTACACAGCCCACCACACGCAGGGGCACTAGGAGGGCGGTGAGAATGTAAATCTGAAAGGGGGAAAATAAAAAACGAAAAATTAAAAAAAAATCAAAGCTAATGGATTAGATTTCCGATAATGAAAGTGAAGTGAAGTGCACACAAAAAAAAAAGATTTGAAAAGTTAAAATATTTAAAATATGTTTGTACCCATTCGAAAAACCAACAAACATATATTAAATATCAAAGGCGATTAGATAAGCTGGAAATGATTTAAAAAACAAATATCGAAAAACCACGACTGCCTTACTCAATGACGACGATGGTAGGGGGAGGGGGTTCATCGTTCAGTAAATCCAAATAATCGCCACTTTTTACTCTGGCGTGATTCTGCCATATTTCGAAATCTTAGATAAACTCCCGATAATGCATTGTAACAAGCGATTTGTAAACGACAATCATTGCCAGCAATTGCATTTAAACGTAAAGGCCAAAATTACAAAATTGTCACGCAATTCTCTAGCATGGCTATGACTAGTAGTCTGGGCTTTATATTCTGATTAAATGAGGCGTTTAATGAAGAGATAAGAAAAGCAAATTAAGTAATTTGTTTAGATTTTGCAAAAAGCTTAACATTTGCATGATTTACCAAAGCAAATATCTGTTTTTTGTTTTAACATTTCTAATGAAAGCTCCGACATTAAAGCGTGACGTGATCTATGGCAAAACAATTATTTCAAAACAAAATTTCATTGCCAAACTGTTTCATGGAAAACGCCAAATTTTGTGCGTGTTTAGAAAGTGTGCAAATCACTGGCAGCAGATGGAAATTCATTTGGGTCATCTGGTTATTAAACTACAATGTTTAGATAACGAAGATAAAACAACGTCAACGCATAGATAAAATAAACGCGATATTTGAAAAACATGAATAAATAATCTGAAACGTATGTATAGCTTATATACAAAGATTGAATGTTGAGATAAATGTTAAAGAATCTTTAATGTTTGATTAACATAGATATGCAATACACTGGAGTAACACAGATAAAATATCTAAGTCACTGTGACAACATACATAGATAATTTATCCACGTGAGGGGAAATAATGTAAAATTGTGAACATCAAGGGGCATAGAGAGAAAAAATATCCACGCAACTGGGATAATCTATAAAAGTTATTCCGGTCACTAGGACATCGTAGATAAATTAGTCAGTTCACTGGCATAACCGAGAGAAATTATCCACGCCAATGACAAAACCTAGAAAATATGTCAACATCTCCTGGGGTGAAATTGATAATTTATATATGATGACATATAAATTATGCACGCGCTTAGGATGATATAGACAAATTAGCCTCGACGCTAGGAAGTTACAGATAAATTCTCCATGTCGCTAGGGTCATGAATATAAGTTATCCACCTCGCTAGGGTCAAGTAGATAAATTATCCAACACGCTAGGGTGATATAGACAAATTACCAGAATGATATATATTAATTATGTACGTTGCCAGGAAGATATAGATAAATTATCCACGTCGCAAGGGTCATGTAGATGAGTTATCTACCTCGTAGAATGATCTAGATATATTACCCACGTCGCTAGAATGATATAGATAAATTATCTACGTCGTTAGGATGTTACAAATAAATTATCCACGTGAATAGAATGATACAGGTAAATTATCCACGTCGCTGGAATGATGCAGATAAATTATCCACGTCGCTGGAATGATGCAGATAAATTATCCACGTCGCCGGAATGTTATAGATAAATTATCCACGTCACTTGGATGATATGGATAAATTATCCACGTCACTAGGATGATATAGATAAATTATCCACGTCACTAGGATGATATAGAAACATTATCCACGTTACTAGGATGATATAGATAAGTTATTCACGTCACTAGGATGATATAGATAAATTATCCACGTCACTAGGATGATATAGATAAATTATCCACGTCACTAGGATGATATAGAAACATTATCCACGTTACTAGGATGATATAGATAAGTTATTCACGTCACTAGGATGATATAGATAAATTATCCACGTCACTAGGATGATATAGATAAATTATCCACGTCATTAGGATGATATAGATAAATTATCCACGTCATTAGGATGATATAGATAAATTATCCACATCACTAGGATGATATAGATAAATTATCCACGTCATTAGGATGATATAGATAAATTATCCACGTCACTAGGATGATATAGGTAAATTATCCACGTCACTAGGATGATATAGATAAATTATCCACGTTACTAGGATGATATAGATAAATTATCCACGTCATTAGGATGATATAGATAAATTATCCACGTCACTAGAATGATATAAATAAATTATCCACGTCACTAGGATGATATAGATAAATTATCCACGTCGCTAGAATGACATAGATAAATTATCCACGTCACTAGGGTCATTTAGATAAGTTATCCACGTCGATAGGGTCATGTAGATAAGTTATCTACCTCGTAGAATGACATAGATATATTGTCCACGCCGCTAGAATGATATAGATAAATCGTGTACTTCGTAGAATGATCTAGATATATTATCCACGTCGCTAGAATGATATAGATAAATTATATACGTCGTTAGAATGATACAGATAAATTATCTACGTCGTTAGGATGATAAAGATAAATTATTTACGTCGTTATAAATTATCTACGTCCTTGGGATGATAAAGATAAATTATCCACATCGCCAGGATGATTTAGATAAATTATCTATGTCGCAAAGATGATATAGATATATTATCCACGTCGCTAGAATGATACAGATAAATTATCCATGTCACTGGAAGGATATAGATTAGCCACGTCACTAGGGCAATATAAAAAAAAAAGATATAGATAAATTATCCACCTTGTTAGGATGATATCGATAAATTATCCACTTCGCTAGAAGTGATTATCTCCACGACGTTTGGACAGCTTAGATAACCTTTCAAATTCATTTGGCGGACTTAGATAACTTATCCGCATCACTGGGATAACTTAGATAACTTATCCACGTATTTGGACCACTCAGATAACTTATACAAGTCATTAGGATAACTCAGATAACTTATCCACGATATTGTGATAACTCAGATAACTTATCTACATCATTGGAATAAATCAGATAACTTATTCACGTCATGGGATAACTCAGATATTTTATCCATATAATTGGAAGTACTCAGATAACTTATCCACATCATTGGCATAACTCAGATAAATTATCCACGTCATTTGGATAACTTAGATTACTTATTCATGTCAATGAGATAACTCAGATAACCTATTCACGTCATCGGGATAACATAGATAACTTATCCACGTCACTAGGATAACTCAGATAACTTATCCACGTCACTAGGATAACTCAGATAACTTATCCACGTCGTTTGGATAACTAAGATTACTTATCCACGCCATTAAGATAACACAGATAATCTATCCACTGGAATACATCAAATAACATATCCAGGTCATTGGAATATCTTAGATAACTTATTCACGTCATTGGGAACATTCCAATACATTGGGATAACTCAGATAATTCATCCACTTTCTTGAGATAACGAGAATATTTTATCCAGATAACTTGTCCTTTCATTGGAATAACTCAAATTACTTATCTTCGTCATTGAGTTAATGAAAATTACTTATCCACGTCCTTGAGATAACTCAGATAAATTATCCACCTTCTTGGGATAACTCTGATAACTTTTTCACGTCAGTGGGATAACTCAGAATAAAAAAATAACATATCAACGTCATTGTGATTAAATCAGATAACACAGTTATCTTATCCACGTCATTGAAATAAATCAAATAACTTATACACGTCATTGAGATAAATCAAATAGTTTATCCACGTCATTGGGATAAATCAAATAACTTATCCACGTCATTGGGATAACTCAGAAAACATAACCACGTTTCTGGAAACATTCCGCGGCATTGGAATAACTCAGATAACATATCCGCATCTTTGGAAACATTCCACGACATTGGGATAACTCAGATAATTTATCCACGTCATTAAGATAACGATAATGACATATCGACATCATAAGGATAACTTAGATAATTTATCTTCGTCATTGGTACAACTTAGATAACTTATCCACGTCATTAGAAGAACTCAGATAACTTATCCACCTCAATGAGATAACTTATCCCCGTCAATGGGATAACTCAGAGACAACTCAGATACTATCACAACATTGGGAGAACTTAGCTTATACATGGGATAACTTAAATAACATATTCAGTACATTGGAACAATTTAGATAACCTACTAACGCCATTGAAATAATTTGGATAACAGACCTTTAAGATAACATAAATATCCACGCATTGAGGATAACTTGAATAGTAAAATCAACGGCATAAGGATAACTCAGATAGTATATACAGAGCATTCCCATAACTTAGATAATATATCCATATCATTTAGATGACTTAGATAATGTATCTAATCTTCATCGTCAAAGTTTCTATTTCCTTGAATTACTAAGATATCAGCCCATTTAATGTATTAAAACAATAATTGAAATGCGTTTCAAGTTTAGGGTTATTTCCCAAGCTTTATTATGCCAGGCTTATCAGGGTCGGATGAATCTTATTCGAACACTGCGACGCTTTAAAGAGGTATCAAGGAAACAAAAATAAAAAACAAGTACTAAAAATGCAATAACAATAATTCAATATCGAAATAAAATTTACACACAAAATAAAATAAAAAAATAAAATAAACGATTTACTCGGACACCTCCAGACACACTATAACCTACAGACCCCAATACAACCCATTAACAATTTTCGTTGTGGTTGTTGTAATAGCTTTTTTTATTGTTTGTTTATTAGCAGCCATGAAAATGAAACTGCACAAATGAATAATGACCGATAAAACAAATTCAATGTCAATGCCAAAGAGAAGCGGATCGGACAGCAGAGTATGGCAGGGTCAAAGATATTATCATCATCGCCATCACTCATCGACACCGATTAATATTTTGTCAAAATAGCCAACTAATGGCAACACTA